CACTTTTTAGCGCGGACCCGACGTCCATATAATTGTAAGTCAATGGTTGTATCAGTTTTTATATACTTTTTCTTTCTCTTGTTACAGCCTTTCTTTTTCTTTTCTTTACCAACTTACAATAAATTTCTGTGGACCTGAAGTTTTCTTATTTTATTGCCGTGAACCTGGTCACGGCTCATTAGGATAACAACCCTTTTCAAAGTCATCTCTAAGGAGAGGGTTTAGGCGGTAATACCAAGTTTACCTTTTGTACAAAATAAGAATCATTGAAATCTGTTGGCGAATGCCGGAGTAACTGCGTAACGTAACCACAAAAGTGGAGTAGCTGTCACCAAGCAGTAAAGTGAGCATTACTGCGTTCAGGTTTTGAATTTAAGGGTGCTGGTGAAATTACGAACTCATGGGACTTATCAACTTAAGTCTCGAGGTGACGGGTGTAGTTCTAGTGCCCCTAAGATCATTGCAATTTAAAGCTTCGAATGGGGCTGTTAGGGACAGGCGTGTAGCTCACCATCAGGCGCACGGCTTGTTCGTTCCGTCACTTGAAATCATAAAAAAAGGTATCCTCACGATGTTTCGTTTTTCTTCATTTCCTCGCCGCATAAGAATCGGTTGAGAAAAACCATGGCGCGAATAGGTACACGTTTTTCCAGTACGTTTTCCAGTGTAACTTTTTAAAAATATTCTGTACTAAAACTTGCCAATACAAATGCCAAAAGTGAAATCGTCGAGTATATAACCAGAAATAGAGACAAAATAAGGCCTGGCAAACTCATTGGACAAATGGGCCTTGTATCACTTTTAAATATCAACTCTAGTTTGCACTGAAATCACAAATCAGAAAGCCGAAACAGTAGAGCGCCAACAACTAACTTGTGTGGACGTCTCCGTATATTCCAAAAATATTTGTTATTTTTTGTAATAAGGATAATATCTCTTAACTATGGGGCTGTTCCATTCGGTGGTGTGGGAAAAACAGCGACACATCTAATTGCATAACGAACGGAATCACATTTCATCGGTAATTAAATATTAAATGTGTAATTTTTCAATTTTCGTCGCATTATAGCAAAACTCAAGGTAAACTGGTCGATTTGAAGTGAAACAATTGACGACACCCGTCAATTGTTTCGAATTCGGGGTGGCGAATCGGAGCGCAGTTGTCTTTTTTGGTTTTTGTTGTTGTTTTCAAACAAATTTAATGACATTTCGTTTTTATATCTGGTTATATATGTATGTACTCGATGAGTGAAATAAATACTTGCGTATTGATACAGAACTTTTTTCCTACGAAGCCACGGAAACAAAAATTAGGATGAAAACAAACACCCATCACAAACATAAAGGACAATGGCAAACTCCCGTATACATTTTTGTTGACATAATTTGTATGCGTCTGTTTATGAAAAATATGTGAAAATATGGAGTTGAAATGCCTGAACAAATTTTGTTTTGGGTTTACTATTCTGAAAAGTCAGAAATTAAAGATATTCCGGCTTAAAGTTTTGGAGGTTATGTGTTACGTAATTGAATAAAATATATTCGGTGTATTATTATATCACAATAAACCACAGAAGCCTTAAACAGAGGTAATAGAAGCTGAATGGTGCTGTAGGCTTGTGACGTGACGAAAGTTCTGAGGAAGTTATTCTGTATTTCCAATATGGTCAAAAGGCGTGAAGTTAAGCCATAATAAAAAAACTGAGTTAGTCAATAACATACCACAGACGATTGCACTAGTAACTCGGACATTTTTTTTGTGAAACGTGCCATCTATCCCTAATTTTGGGAACTTTTTGTCACTTTTACCATTTTCTCGCGTGGCATTTTGGAGAAGAAATTATCGATTTTATTTTTTGTAATGAAATAGTTAATCTTGTATTAGTTTATTACAAATCGGTCGAATCAGTACGTTTGGTGTTACGTGAACTAAATGTGGACCAGATCCATACGTAGGTACTGAAATTCCTTTTTTGGCGGCTAGATGTCGCTCAACGTTAAACTAAGAACATACTAATTAGTCATTAGAGTTCCTTTTAAATATGATTTTATTTCCAGACTTAGATAGGCCGCTATTGTAATTTGAAAAACCTAATGAATTTATTTTATTGAGACTTGTAATTAAGACATTTGAAGACACGAACGAATTCTTTTAACTACGATTTTGCCATTGTTCTTTCAGGTAACCATGCTGACGACAGGAGGTGGCGGTGTAGGAGAGTCGTTACCTCCCGCTGCGAAACCGCAGCAGTCGCGCTCACTCGCCAAAGCTCTCAATGAAACTTTCCAGGTAAAACCATGCCCGTTGGTAATGAATGTAGTATGAGAGGTAAGTGTGATGCGTAAAATCAAGGGAGCGCGTGGGAAAAGAAAAGAAGGGGAATAGAAAAAAGCGATGAAAGTAAATAATTTTATTAAGGCGGGGTAGTTCAGTGCGCGCCTACTTTTTAGGTGAGGTGTGGGCGTAGCCCCTCGCGTCCCGCAACCCAGGACTAATAATAATATGAATAAAATAAGAACAGGCGGAGAAAATTTGACGCAGATCCGACGTCGACAAGTGCCGATGGCGACTGACGGGATAGCAGACGGCGCGGCGCGTCCTTAAACCGCGGAGCAATTTTCAAAATTTTGGGATAAATGTGAATTTTGTTAAATATAAACTACAGGGCTTTAATTGAAAGGCAAAATTTAGCGAGTTGGTTGAACTGTCTCCGTGGTCGAACGGTTACCATGCCGGACAGCCACGCAGAGGACCCAGGTTCGCTTCCCGGGCCGGGAGAAATATTTGTATGACCTACATTTATTTTTCTCGTGAGTTTGGCTGTAATTTGTGGTTGTCAATGTGTGTGTCCATGGCACCCGCGACACAGGGTTTCCCTAGTGGCGGAGCTATGTTGAGTGTGTGCGTTATTTATTTGTTTATTATTTATATTTGTCTGTAGTAAAGAGAAATATCTCTATATAAAAATTCGTTTAAGACTGTTGTTTTGCATGTTTTCAGGATTTTATATGATCAAGCGAAGTACATCCTATTATGTAACAAATTAGCACGTTCTTTAGACAATATCCTTAGGCATATCGTACATATTTTTTTGTAAGTCCCTTATTTAATAGTAAATCTCTAAACCATTTGATCTACCAAAAAATAGTTGTTCCCAGTCATTGACTTACAATTATATGGACGTCGGGTCCGCGCTAAAAAGTGTCCGAACTTATAGGGCGTTAAAATCGTATACAGAGCGTCATTCACGCTTTAGTCTTCGTTTGTTGGACTGACAGCGAAGCAAGCAGAATTAGACAGTACTGCGATGACATTACAATTTAAATTCAACGTTTTAGCTTTTTCATATTCCTTTACATGTCACCTATTTATAGGTTGACTTGGGACATTTTTTTCGTGGTTTGTGTATTAGACCCGTCGTCCATTTATTTGTAAGTCAATGTTCCTAGTAAAGTAATTGTCAAATTTGCCTCAGTGTGACGGACGCAGTGGTAGTGACCCTCAGATCTTTGCGATTAAAGCTCTGAATGGTACAGTCGGTGTCCTCACTTAGGTATCCACTATTTGTATAGCACTTAGGACAAATAGTGGATACCTAAGTGAAGACACCGACCCTACCGTGACGATAATGTTAGGCGTGTCGTTCATCACCAGGCACTTGACTTGTTCATCCCGTTACTTGATACCATTAAAAAAATTAATATTCTATGTCATTCACAGACGTTCTCGGTGCCAGTCAACAACTTTCCTCGTACTCCGTACATCAAAAAGTAAGTTTAAAACTAATTATTATACCATATTTAACATTGGATATGATATATTATTTATTATTTCTCACCGTATTTTAGCGTTGAATTTAAGTGGTACAATTTATTAAAGGGTCAATAACAAGTTGGTGATGGACGAAGAGTTGCTACGGGGTCGCGTCATGGCCAAGAAAGCCAATAAGAAGGCTCCTGTGGACTTCTCGTTGCCCTATGTGCCTGGAGGTAAGGTAGAAATGTTGCGCAGGAACTTTTCAATTAATTCCTCATTCACAGGTCCTGCTTTAGTAAAAATCCGTAACTCTCCATCCAGTCGATGATACCTCTATACCACCCACACAACAATAAATTCAATAGAAGTGCTTAGTTTGCATGGTACGTGTGTCAACAGTACGCGAAGTTCCACATTCTTAAGCTCAGTCTGCCAGTTTCGCTTTGTACATTATGATTTTCTCTCGTAAAACCTCGAAAAACGCCTTATTTCGCTTATTTGGAGTACAAAAATGATACTTGCAATTGCAAACATTTTCTATTTATCGTAATAACCTTTTTTTGTTACTAGAAACAAAAGTAAGCCTTATACCGCTGCGACATGGACGCTTTTCTTTGGGCAACTAAGTAAATATGTCGAATTCGTCGTCGTTCATCCATTAACCGCTAAGTGGCAGCACATTGATTGAAATTTCAATATAATAAAAACGTCATAACTTGCATAAATAGGTATTGAACTTTCAACTATATGCCAACTAGGTAAAGTTTAATTGTATTAATAGTCCAGAATTTGTTACATCTTTTTAAATTAGACGTTACGACCAATCATTATCAAGATTTCATAGTATTTCAAATTATGAATGTGTGAATTTTGGCGGTAAAAGCGGTTCTAATAGCAATCGAGGCTGAAGACACTTCCATTGTTTTTACTTCTGTGGTAGTAAAATATAAATGTAAAAATTTTAAAAAGGTAATTATTACCAAAGAATAATTTAATGTCAACTTAAGCCTCTGCTTAGTCCCTGTTACCAACCAACCACCTATATGTGACAAACTCGATGGCTCAACGGTTTATAATGTGGGCGCTGGATGAGGAGGTCCCAGGTTCGATTCCCGGTAGAACCAAATTGGGAAAATAACTTTTCTAAATTGGTTCTGGCCTAGGTGTTCTGGGAAGTACCCCAGAGTGAGTTCCATTGCTCTGGTACTCATAATACAAGGAATTCCCTAGTTGTGAGACCAGACAACAGAAGTTGGTGTGTTTGTCTGGCACATTACTATTATAAATAATTACTTTTTTTTATTATACCAAGCGACGACGAACAAGTCGTGCGCCTGGTGGTAAGCGACACGACTATCCGTAACAGTTGCAGAGCCACTTAATCGCAAAGACCTTAGGGGCACTGCCACTGTGCTTGCCATCCTGAGACATACAGAAGTAGATAAGTCCCATCTGCCTATAATTTCACCAACACCCTGATCCTTCAATACCGGAACGTAGTAATGTTCTCATTACTATTTGGTACTAAAACTTACTACTTGCTTGAGCGCTTGAGGAAAATTGGATGCTGATAAGCAATGACGTGTTAACTAGCTAGTTAAGGTACCTTGTCGTCTCGTTTACATTTTACAAACAAACTTAAGTGATTTGGAAATTCCAAATAATAAAACAATGGTATAACCAATGCTCATTAACCATTATGGCAAAAAAATCTTTAGGCGCCATTTCCTCAAAACTATGATCAAGTTGGTTGACCCGTTGTTGCTTATCAGCATCCAATTGCACATCGGCTCTCTTTAAAGTTTGTTTAAAAAATATTCAAGTCACCGAATCGTATAGGGGCTTTGTTTTTTCCAAGAAAAGAAGAAATTGATACAAATAATAAATATTGCAGCAAGCAACAGTCCAATGAAGAAGGCCAAAAAGCCGCACACGCAGAATACGATGACCAAGTACGATACCTGGGAGAGTGCCGTAAGTCACGCCACTGCTTTCATTAATAAACATAAGAACAGACTCTATACGAAAAACTTATAAAAGACATATTTATAGTTCATTATTTGGAAAGAATTCCACAAAAATTTCATGTGTTACTTCTACGACCTTTGTGGTTTTTTTTTTCTACTTTATTGGAAAGTAGGAATAAAAACGAGAGTTTTGTGTTTGATGAAACTATTTTTTCTTCCGGTCCTACGACTCTTTTATAAACCTCAATTATGTGACATGTTCTTTTTCTTCCAGATTCCTATAGTTTTGAACACCGGTTGACAAATCGATACTTCCAATGACCACTACGTCAACAACAGCCATATTTATTTAATAATAGTATGCTCCCCGAATTTTGTGAAAAAAAAAACAAAAAACAAAATTCGAAAAAGAAACAAATTTTGTGAAAAAAATAAACAAAAAAACAAAATCAAAAAAACGGAAAAACATTAAATAACTTAGTAACAAATTACGCTATATCGTTGTCGATGAACTTTAAAATGTGTGCCATTTATGGTTTTGTTGAACGACTAAGTCGTTGGCCAATAAATTTTCTCAAGTTTATCCGAACGGAAACTACAGAATTTTTTTTCTCTGAAACTACATATTTGTCACACCGGTGTTCTACTCTCGAATTTGTATTAGCTCAAACTATAGGAACCCGGAAGAAAAAGGATATGTCACAAAATTGGGGTTTATAAAACAACGTGCGACTGATACCGTGACAAAGGGATCTGTAAAGCGCTCGAAATTCGGTTTGAAAAAACATACAAGGTTATTTTTAAAATACCTTCTAACAACCTCGCAGGACCGCATTACTAACATAACTAAATAACACAACACAACACAACTTTTGTTCAAAGAGTTTTTTTTATTTTCGAACAAAATTAAAAATATTGAAATAGCTTGCTCTAAACGGTGGTAACTCTGTGCAAAACGCAGGAGCGTGGGTGAGGAGCGTCTACTCCTGTTTTCCGTCCTCCTGGCATCCGTCCCGAAACAATTATTGTGAAGCATGAAGCTTCATTCGAATCAAAAATTGATTTAAACAAACTCAAAAACAAAATGTAAAAAGAAACAAACTATCAACTCTATTATGGTTTTTTCTACTATTATAGGAAAATAGTTCTGAGAAGATGGGTACCTACTATCCTTGTATGGTACCATACACTTTTTATTTTGGGCATGGTATCGTACAGATCGCTGGAGATCAGACGAAATATGGCGCTTCTAAAATATATTTTGAACCTAATAAGAAGATATATAATTTATCTTCCTCTATTGGCTCAAATTTCATTTCTTATACCGCCAAGATCACGTTACGTCGTCGAGTATATAACCAGAAATAGAGACGGAATGTTATTTAATTTCTTTGAAAACTATTCTGCCGTACCTATCATTACGTCATCGAAACAATTGACGGGTGTCGTCAATGGATGCCGTCAATTGTTTCACTTCAAATCGAGTAGTTAACTTGAGCTTTGATAATAATAATTTATTTCAGACTTTTGTCCATAAATGGTTAGTATACATGTGATCTTAAGACTAATGTTAGTATGACATGACTGCGTGCAGTCGCGACCAGTGTGCGAGCATAGGAGAATTCTCGCGCTCCGAGAACACGCCCAAGATACTATTATTATTGCTACGCTTTGCTGTAATGGACGAAAACTGCATAATTGCATATTTAATATTTAATTACCGATTAAATTTGATTCCCTTTGTTTTGTAATTAGATGTTTTGCTGTTTTTCCCCACACCACCGATTGGAACAGCACGCTATTGTTGGAAATATAATCTGTATTACAATAAATACAGAATATTTTTGGAATATACGGAGACGTACACACAGGTCAGTTGTTGGCGCTGTCTACATTTAAGTGCAAACGAGAGTTGACATATAAATAAGTGATGTAACTCATTAGAGTTACCAGAAATGTATATTGATAGGCCCTTATTTCGTCTCTATTTCTGGTTATATACTCGATGCGTTACGTCCTTCGCCAGCGCAAATACCGTCTGTTCATCTTTCATTTAACCCGTACAATGACACTAATTCGGACACTATTCTTCGAAGCCCTAGTCGTAATTGGATCCTTAAGAAGGACAAATGTTATTGACATGTTCAGCAACACTGAATCAAAATTTCTAACTACCGCTGGTTACTATTTGGAGACAGTCACCGTCCAAAGCCCTGTGGTCCAGATTCCGCATCTTACCTTTGACCGGTGATAGACTCAACCTTTATACAACCTTTAAATGACTATGATTTACATGTTTGTTATAAGTACTGTAAGTGTAAGTTGTACAAAATAAATAAATAAATTTGCACCATGCGTCTTGCTACGGACGGAAAGCTTGAGTAGATCCCCAGGGTCATCGGAGCAGGCGCTTGCCCGTTTGAACTACCAAATACATATAAAAAATTGGCATATAGTACAAAAAATTTTTTAAAAAGAAGTTTATTTTTGGTAAATTTATTATGTAAAAAAGTATGGAACAAAGGTTATTGTTTATGATGTTAATGATATAGTCGTGCAAGGTTGTTAATGTCTTCCATTACTAGTTTTATATTTAATGTGAAACAATCGAGTGAAAACCTAACAGCTCGATGTAACTCTTTATTATTTTTTTATATTAACGTTTACCAGTTATTACGAATTTTTAAATTATTTTTTTTTTTTTATAATTTTACACGCAAGTTACTTTAGACGCTTTTACACAATGATTTAGGATTTATATAATTTATAGTTATACCACCAGTATTACTAGATATTATAAATATCTACATAAGTACATACTATAATAAGACAAAGTATGGTAACCTCATATAACACTAGAAGCGCAGTTTGTATGTGCACTCCGCGTGTCATGTGTACGGACGCATACATTCGCGTAATTACGAACTCGCGGTGCATAACGCTGTAAGGCTGGCACGACAGGGCACGACTTGCGCGATAGTGACATAAATGCGCAAGATATTTGTATAATCTGTGCGGGAAAAGCAGTATCTCGCGCTTTATGTCACTCTCACGCAAGACACGCCCAGTCGTGCTAACCATTAGGCATGCATGAGACGACTTAATAGTCGTCACACTAGGGATGCAAATTACGATTCGATTTTTATGAAGATTCAAGATTAAATTCAATGCGATTTTTAAGCGAATCAATTCAAAATTAAAGCGAATTGCATGTCTAGAATGTATTCATAATATAGACAAAAATCTCATTTTATTAATGATTTCGTCACGTACAGAAGCGGAAAATAAAAGGAGGACAATGCTTTGAACATTTTATTATTGAAAAGTTTAGTTAGATGCGAAGTATTGGCATCTGTGATAAGAAAAAACATTTACATATTATTATGGCAAATATCAACTAATAAAGGTATTTATTACAAATTTTGAAACGATTTTTATGTGTTAATTCAAGAGCACAATTACAATCCGATGTGTGATCGATTCAGAGGAATATGATCCATTACGATCCAAAAAATCGATTTAAAGTAAAAAAAAATGTGCATCCTTACGTAGGGCGCATTTCCACTATGTCGTGACGACAGATTGTCGTGCAGTTTACAGTGTCGTGGCTTGTATATTTAAATGAAGTTGTTCACATATAGCACGACACGATTAACTGTCGTTCACGATTTTTTATCGTTACAACGACCAACTGTCGTCACAGTGGGAACAGCCAGAACGACAGTCGTCGGACGATAAAATAACGTCTCGATAAAAACGTGACGACAGATTGTCGCAGCTCCTATTGTCGTCACGATTTATTTATCGCTGTCCGCACGTATTCTACTCCCTGCCCTCTCCTCTCATACCCCGCGCCCTCTGCTCGCTTTGTAGTAGCGTTGGGTCGTAGCCAGAGATGGGCAAGGAGGCTGTCGTGAAACGATAAATTGTCGTCACGTTCTAGTGGGAACAGCTAGTCACGACAGTCATTCAACGATAAAAAATCGTCCACGACAGATAGTCGTGATATGGGAACAGGCTAGACACGACAGTCGTCCAACGATAATGAAACGTGACGATATGGTGGGAACGCGCCCTCAACGCGCCTTTGATTATTATGCGAATGTGTGCGTCTGTACACAGTGCGCAGTGGGCGTGCCCACATGTAAGCCGCGCTGCTGCGTATCAATGGAGTTACCATACTTATTATACTATGGTAAGTACGACGTACATTACACTACTTTTTTAAGACTATACCTGCTTGTAAAAAGTGATTCTGCAACCGGCAATATTTATTGACGGTCGATGAACGTTGGCAAACATAACATTTTTTTAACAAAATTCTTTACTTGGCACGTCTGCTAGACATACTCCTATAAACATTTACTATACTTTCGTGATTTATGAATCCCTGTAAAATAAAAATAATGTCAGCATGTATGAAATGTAATCTGTCGTGGTAAATTTCCCTTTCATGTTGACCAAGTTTAGATCTAATAGAGTTGAATGGGAGCAATAGAGCTGAGCAAAAATACAAAAGTATCCCCTTGTACAAATGATAATGTTTAAATGTTGAAACTTAATTTACAATATTTAAGTAGGTTTTCTACCAATTAATAAATTTATGATCCCTCTTGTGACTTGTCTACTGTAACTTGCCTTGCGCAATCGTGTCAAATAGTTTTATCAATTACAGTACCGGCACGCTATGATGGCCGTTTTGACAGATACAATTGTGAGGTCAAATCTCAATTCGTTATCGAGAAAAATGTAATCAAACGCGAGTCGCATTCACAAGTTTTTAGATTTATAACTAATATTGCAAGGGGTGGCTGATTAACAAGTTTTAATAAAACGAAAATAAAAATGTTTACCTAATCGTCAATTCGGAACTGCTTTGTTTTGCATTGAGCTTTGACGCGAGTTTGCCGGAGGTAGAAGTGCTGGACGGCGATCGTAAGTGACGATCGTATTAGATTTTTTTTTTCGAATTTCGAAAGACAAATGCCGAGTTGTGTCGTAAAATTATAAATTCCTTAGATTTTACTGCACGTCACTATTGACAACAACGTGCATCAATTAGCTCCTTACGTAGTTATGAATTAGTACGAAACTTGAGCTACGTAATTGCATTATAAATGTAGATACATATATGACTGTCAGGAAGTAATGTTTGCATTGGAAAGATGATAAAGATCGTTCGTGTTACTCAATTACAACAGAGTTACTGTTGGAGTGTTTATGCTCTTATCTATTACTCCATTAATTATGTTGGCTCAAAATTTCGCTTGTCACGAGCTGAAAATATACCACCAACAGAGTTGATGGAAGCAATCAAAACTGTTGATCAACTTGGCAACCAATCCTAAACGGGCGCACTAATGGTCATAATGTGCATTTCAACAGCGTGGTGTTGACACAACGGGCATGAAGACGCCAACCAACCTTCCGTACATGTGACTATACGACCTCGGCTACTGGCGAGCCTACTACTAACATCCAAAAACTAAAAAAAACATTGGCCATTATATTATGTGAAAATATTACACACTTAAGCGTTCATCCTGTTGGTTGATAACAAGATTATTTTACACGAGCCTACTTTTCGGAACGATTTTTAAATCGAGTAGTGTCATTAATGTTTTAATTTTGAAAAGTAATTTTATTTAAATGTCTAACTAATTTTATTATGACTTAAAATTGGGCTCTCAGTTTTTTTTATAAGTAATGTTATACTACAATTCAAATTAATTGGAAGCGGTCGTCTATCATATGTATATGTATATGTATATGGTAGAACATATTGTAGTAATTAAGTTATATGATGGTGTCCTTAGTTTTTGTTTAAATTATTATCCTGTCGATGTTCATCAACCGTTGTTTAAAATGTTAATGAAATTGTCTTATGCCGTTGATAACAAATTGCTAATTGGCGTTACACACGGTCTGATTTTTTAATATGATAATTTCACTATTTTGCACGTTAGCTTGTGAAGTTTTATTCTCATAAAAGTGTCACATTTAAACATATAATAAATCCGTCCGTATGTTAAACTTGAATTTCACAGTTAATATGATGGCCAATTCAGAATTTATAAAGACTGTAAACAATTACTTTTAATGCAATAGTGATAGTTGTTTTACACAAGGGTTCATAGATGATTTCTAATGTTTATTTATATTCTGTTAGGGTCAAAAACAAAAAGTCCAACAAAACATAGTTAACGAGAGTCTTTCAAAAAATCTTGAAATATTCTGGTTCATTGATTTATGGTTGTAGAAAACTGACAGGCTATTAATCGGGTACGGTGACGTTTGCGATTTCAAGTTTATAAAGTCGAATAAAAAGAAAATATGGGATTTAATTATTAAGTCATTGTGGCACCATAAAAACAATTCAACTAATGAAAAATCCAACAACCATGAAACGAAATCTGAACTATCACTCCAAAAAACACTACAGAAAGTCTAAAACAAATGAAAACCAAGCACACGAGACCTATGCGTTTGTACGCGAAATAAACGATTTGACAGGACAGCCGATTAGATTTATCAACTAGTTGAATCAGTTTCTTTTTTTACCCTTATCACTTCATTGTCTATCTGTTCAACATGCAGTAATTTTTACTTAAAATTACAGCTGCAACGAATATTGTTTGTTTTGGATATATTCAACGGTAGAAGATAGATTAAAAATATTATGCAAGCCATGTTAATATTTAAAATGTCACAGTACCTATCCTATGTGAAATAAACTATAAATCACCACATTCATCGATAGGTAATCGCATCAAGTTGATCAGAACAAAGCTTTAATTAATTAAATTTTTATTGAATTGATATTCAATTATTTTTTGTGAAATTACTCCACTAGTTTGTTATAATTATTAATACAAAGATCGAACACTCAGAAAAAACACTCAGA